ACAACGAAGCGAAGTTCATCCACTGGACTAGAACATATGTACTGTACCATGAGCAGGCACAGTTTTTCTAGTATTATTATTATTATTATTACAACTCTGCTACAAGTAGTAGAGTAATAATAGTAGATCAAGGAACTGCTGATAGAATAAGATTGCTTGGGTACATGTACATTTGGCAACAATTGCACACACGGCTCCACCAATGTTTGTTGTAGGCAGGTCTTAGGGTTAGGGCTCCTCTGGATCTGTCACCGCTGGTGTGCTCTCCTCCTGATGATTTACGGCGTCGTCTTCGTCGGAGTCAGTGTCGTCTTCGTCGGAGTCGGAGTCGTCTTCGTCCTCAAAGTCTGGGTCTTTATGCTGCTGCGTGGGCAGGGCGTGACGGCACAGCGGGCAGACAGCTTTAACCCGGAGCCGGCTGAAGATACAGTCCGGATGGAAGGCGTGGGAGCACGGCATCACCCTGAGTGTCTCCTTGGCGTCCGCGTCGAAATCCTGCAGGCACACGGCGCACTCCTCCGGCATCCCCGCGTCGCCGGCCCTCGCCTCCCGCAGCAGACCCTGGATGGCATCATCGCTGGAGGCGGGGGCTCGAGCACGCTTGCGGTTGAGGCCGTATAAAACCATATCCAGATCCTCCCGCTGTCGCCGGATTTCGTCCAGCCTGCGGCGGTCGTCGTCGGGGATTATTGGCAACTCGGCGTTGACCAAGTAGATCTCGCCATTGACGAGCACCGGCATAGTCACTGGAAGCCAGTCGGAAGTAGGGATTGTATCATCCATCTGCAGCCAGTCCCAGTTCCTCCTACGGCGGCCACTAACGGCCGGAAAGGACATGATGGTGGGCGGAGAGTAGTAAGATGGATGAACACGGGATGGATCGAACGAGATGATCGAGCAAACCTTACCAGAGACAACAGGGAGCGAGGGGATCTGCTCTGCCTCGGCTTATATCGTCGGGAGTCAGACCTCCAAATTGGAGTCGGCTTCCGATTTCGATTTGGATCTGGGAGTCCCGACGCGCGAGGGGGCTCACTAGGCGCCGCCGCTACGTGTGGAACGGGAGAAGTGGAGGAGTCGGAGGAGGGACGAAGAAAGAAGCTAAGGGTGTGATGTGAGCCGTCCGATCTAATCAGACGGTCAAGAGAGCTACACGGACGAGTAGGCCAAACAGGCTCAGGCAGGGGACGATGGAGGGCTGAGCTAAATAAGGCCCAGTCAATAATTTTTTTTATAAATATTATTTGAAAATATGAGGACTATGACAGAATTTTTGAATAGCAAATGACTTCAAACGAAAAAGTCATAAACCACAAATTTGTAAAACTCATCAAGATATACAACTTTTATTTTGATCATTACTCCATCAGACTTTGTTTGAACAATTCAAATTTTAAATTTAAAAAAATGACAACTTCAAACAATATTTTGAAATAGCAAATGATTCCAGCTGAAAAAGTCATCAACAACAGAGTTGTACAACTCATCAAAATGTTGTTTGAAATTGTCATTTTTGAAAATTCAAATTTTAAATTGATAAAACAAAGTCCCGTGAAAAGATGACCAAAATAATAGTCGTAAGAATACAATAAATTGATAGAGCATGATTTTAGCCGGCTTATCAGCTAGAATATCTACAGTATTTTTCTCTCACGACAAAACAGCTCCAGTCGGTTTATCAGCCGACTTTAATACCAGCCGAATAGGCCCGAATCGACGGCCGTCAATCTAGCGTGGAAAATTGCACGGGCCCACTTTTCTTAGAGAAACCGACACGACCACCTACGGTCCTGCCCCCAAATCCTGAATCCTCCCGTGGAGCCGTGGAGGAATGAGGTAGGCGGAGCAAAGGTGCGTTCCTTGCCGGATACTAAGTAGATCAGTATAATGCTCGTGCTAACACAACGGTTTTATTTAGAGAATGATCATAAAAACATCTAATTTGTTATTTTGTAGTTTAACCTTTACCCAATTATTATATTGTAGCCTAAGTTACATTTGGCGTAAGTCATTTATCATTTGTTACACATCTTCAGGGATGTTGAAACATTCGTTTGCAGGATTCGTCAAAATGTCAGCCAAGAATTTCTTCCTCAGTGTAGATGATAGCTGCGCATAGTATAGAATATAATATGTTAGTATTGTATGTAGTGTACGGAATATAGTTGGAGACTATATATGCTTACAGCGGTGATCCGTGGTAATCTTACGCCGTCCCATGACTTCATGAAATTATAGACAAGAAAGCCTCTCAATTTCCTAACGGAGAAGATCAGTTGTTTATTTGATGTACATAAATCAAATTACTATTTTTTTTATAGAAAAGTTGAACCAAATTTTGCGACACTTACCAGTATTTATGACCCGAAACCTTTGTTACATATTTAGGGTATTTTCGCTCCCAGTAATAAATATTTTCGCTCCACCTAGAATTTGATAGTGGCATGGCGAGATTGAACATTCCAGCATTAGTGTGGAATGTAGGTATATATGCCATTTCTTGATGATAACCCTTTAAACATGCATTATCTGGTAGCGGTTCAAGCGGATCCATAATGTGCACAATTTTGTTTTGCATGTCCAGTATGAATAAAATGTATAATCCATTCTGATAATATGGTAGTAGAATCAAAAAACAAACACACAGACTGTAAGCGGTTCATAAATAAAATAAATAAATTCTTATAAAGTAGTACACTCACCATAACGTACCTGGCTACAATCTTGAATTTTGTAGTGCATGTCTGGCCAGCACTCAAGTACCTTTTTCAATTTGTTGTAGTATACCTTATCAATGCCACCGGTACATCGTGGATCTCTTCCAAACTCAGTTATTTCCTGATGATGATTGTAATTGTCAGTATATAAATTTTTAATCACATATATTACAAGTTTTTGATGAATTATAGAATTTCAGAACTTACAGCAAATTTAAGATCCATATTATAATACCCGTGCTAACGCAACGGTTTTATCTAGAGAATGATCATAAAAACATCTAATTTGTTATTTAGTAGTTTAACCTTTACCCAATTATTATATTGTAGCCTAAGTTGCATTTGACGTAAATCCTTTATCATTTGTTGCACATCTTCAGGGATGTTGAAACATTCGTTTGCAGGACTCGTCAAAATGTCAGCCAAGAATTCTTTTCTCAGTGTAGATGATAGCTGCGCATGGTATAGAATATAATATGTTAGTATTGTATGTAGTGTACGGAATATAATTGGAGACTATATATGCTTACAGTGGTGATCCGTTGCAACGAACATGCCACGCCCCACACACACAGAGGCGGCGTTCGGCTGGTTCGGCTGTTTCTCCTCACATTAGTACAGTGCATTTTCCAGCCGCTACAGTATTTCTCTCTCACACAACCAGCCGCTACAGTGTTTTGGCTTATTTTTTCAGACAAACGAACGGGGCCAGAGAGACCCTGCGCCTGTGCCTGGACCTCAGAGCATTCTACAGAGCCAGCTGTGCGTCTTAATCATGTCCCAAGAACAGGCCTTCATTCCGAGCAAGAAATTCGGACGCGAGACGTTTCTATTCTTCGCAACATTCTGAATGTTAGCGCGCTTCGCTCCAAACATGACCCAAACACTGAAACACGTCATTTCTGAAACCTGAAACTGTGGCGGAAGTTGCCACCGTTCTCAGGAAGCAAAGCGACCCATGGTATCGCGTGAACAGACCACCAGATGTGTCCATGTGCCAAACAAGAGCGTTACAATTTGCTGCAAATCTACTGCATCTGCGTGCGTAGGTGACAAGCAGCCTGTTCACTTAGTCGTGTTTGGCTTATAAGCTATATTTTTTCAGTGAATGAATAGTTTTTTTTTCTCTCACACCAAACCAGCTAATAGTACTTTCAGCCATGGCTTATTAGCCAAACAAGCCCAAACAAAAAGGACGAAAATCACAAGATACAGTTAGTGATCGTAGCCCAGCCCAGACAGCTGTGCAGAGTCAAGGATGGATGGGTGCCACTGCGAATCAATGCCCAGTAGCTGCACGAGTACGAAACCTTTTCAATGGAAAAAGAGAACGGCGTGGAAAATTAGCTCGGAGAACGCTGATGATTGTACGCCACGACCACGAGCCCGCGATGGAACTGGCTTTCTGGGAGAACGGACTGAAGATACGGGTGACAGGAGACTGATAAGAATCATTTTTTCTAACGGGCTGAAGAGAAGTGTGTTACCTGACTGAATGAAACCTGAAACCCTTTCGGAAGTTCAACAAGGCTTTAAGCATGTCTTCCGGACAGAAGGTATCTGTGCCACCTGACTCACTTCTCAATCCAAAATGATTTTCCAGGCATTTGGCATGTCTTGGAAAGAACACACTATTGCAACGTTTGTTGCATAACTACCGTAGCAGTATTAAATGGCAAACATGCTTATGCAGTTATGCTACAGTTATGAATCGACCAGACAACAGGAAAACAATCTGCGCCCTGTTCATTTGGGCTTATTTGGCTTATAAGCCATGACTGAAAGTACTATTGGCTGGTCTGGTGTGAGAGAAAAATAATGTTCGTTGGCTGATAAGTCATAGCTTATAAGCCAAATACGACCAAGCGAACAGACTGCTGGAAAGCAATGGCAAGATAACACTCATTAGTAGGACAATGCAGTGACTGGTTTTGTAAATATAAGGGATCGGCGATCACATACTTATAAATATACATTTACAGATGGAATCGAGCTACACACAAATAAGTTACCGAAGATTAGATAAATAACTCTTCGACCCTGTTAGAACACAAAGCTCTCTGAGCCTCATGACCTCTGTACAGCCCTACACAACACCCCCCTCCTTTCAGCTGAACAAAAAAACTAAAACAAAAGATAAATAGCTTTCTTTATACTCATCATTGAGCAGCGACTTTGATCCTGCAGGTTATTTCCACGCACTGTTCTTGATCGCCTTTACACAACCTCCTTTTGTTTTGGAATGTACAGTTTCTTTCTTCGACTATATGGTTTCATCTCATCTCAAATCGAATCTATAATGTCTTCTTCCCTCTTCCCATGATCTAGATACACCCTACACTGGATCACCGTACCTCCAAGCCGGAAGCCCGGCACTACCATGAACCCGACCTTTGGTCGCACTGGCTTCCCGAGCTCCTTGCTCGCCACAAAACCCTTCGACCGGACAATGTTCTCCATGTACACCATTGAGAACTTTGTGCCCCGGCCAACCTGGAATATGCCGACTGCTGGGTCATACGCCCAGGCTAACTGTCAGTGAGGTCCATATTGAGCTTGCCATTGCAACAAACAACTCGTGAGTGGGCCGCCACACTCATCACCAAAGAATGTCCCGCAGTTTGAATTCCCAAACAAAGGAGGATTCAATGCCGAGATGGATCAGCTATTTGTACTTGCGGTCGCAAAATTGGGCAAACTTCATGATCGGGCTTGAATTCATCACTCCATCGGTCTGCATCCGAGTGCTCGATGAATTGCTGCAATGACTCATTCCTACGGGTTGCTAGCTCCATTCCTCCGAGCTCGGGTGCCGGCTATGGCGCCGAATTGGTAGGAGTCGAATCCACAAACATGGAGAGGCGACGGGAGAGGAGCGCGCGCGGCAAGTGGCCGCCTTGGAGTAGGAGAAACCAGGGTAGGCAGCCCTGCAGCCAGCGCCCAAGTCCCACCCAACAAGATCGGAGGACCTCGGCAAGCTCGCGGGCAAATCGGTGGGCGACGCGAGCTGTCGTGGAGGATGAGTCAAGACGCCATGACAAAGATCGCGCATCGCCGACGGCGCGCCGCCGCCCGGCGGAGGCACGAGCTGCAGCGGTCGGGCGGCCCTCGAGCCGCAAGTTGCCGCCGTCGACCGCCTCGAGTCCAGCCAGCAGCGGCAGCTGGCCGCCGCCGCGATCCTTGGCGCCGAGGTCCGCTTTGTAGGCGCTTCACCACAGCGTCGAAGGACGCGGCGCAGCAGGGTTCTCGCCGCACTGGGCCTCGAGGTGCGCCGTGAGCGCCCCGCCCCGTCCCGTCCCGGCGAGGGTGGGTCCGCCGCCCGCCTTCGCGATCCGCTTGAGCTCGGCAGCCGCCGGAGGTGCGAGACAGGCGGTGTCCGCGCCACCGCCGCGACGGGCGAGAACGGCGCGTGGCAGCTGCTGCAGTGCAGTGCGCCGCCACTGAACGACGAGGCCGCCGCGAAGCGCCCGCAGCCGACGGTGGCCTCCTGCCCGACACCGCCTTCCCCTCCCCATCCGCGCTAGGGTTAGGGTTCAGCAATGGTCGGGCTTCAAAGACGACTACCCGCTGCCCGGCAAGGACCCCATCCGCCCGGCGCCGCCGCGCGGCGCGTGAATCGGTCGGCGTCCTCGTCCTCCTCCTCCTCGTCCAAGAACTCGATGGTCTTGGTCTTGAATGCGAGCGCGAACTTGTGGAGCATGGCTACGCTCACCGCCATGGCCCAAGCGCTCTCTCTCTCTCTCTCGCCCGAAGCGGGGCGGGGTGTCGGCGACGCGAATTGCGGGAGTGCGGGGTGTTGGCGTAGAATGAGGAGATTTGATACACTCAATCTAGGCCCTCGATTGTGTAATGAGTAAGGAGAGAGAAGGTTTAGAGTGCATCTGGATGGTTCGTTTGAAATGTGTTGTTTTCCTGGGTATACTTTTTGGGCGGACTTAGAGGGGACATCTCAGCGGGGGGTCGTTTTCTTGTGTGGATGTAGAAAAAAAAGATGGTGCATTAGTAGGGTAGATGTTAGATTGACGCTCCCTTCCAAATTATAAGTCACTTTTTATACATCTATTTTACTATGTATCTAGATACAATATATTATGTATAGATACATAGCAAAATAGATGTACACAAAAAGCCAACGTGACTTATAATTTGAAAAGGAGAGAGTATTTGTGTCTATACCCCCTTCGTCCTGTAATATAGTGTATTCTAGCATTCATAATTTGTCCACAAATATAATGCATTCTAGATGACAAAAACCAATTTTACATTAAATATTTTTCATTTATCAACCAATCAACATTAATCATGTTGATGATAGAGTTTGATTAGGAAATAAAATGAGGGTACATGCGTCTTTTATGTTCTTTCTTAATTTGTTTTAAAATTCTTAGAATGCATTATATTACATGACTGATGGAGTATATATATGAATGAATTGAGTGAATCGTATTTCAGAATTTAACTTGAGAGGTCGATACGTACAGAATAACATCAACGGACAGGCTCCACAGCGAAGGCCGATTTGGCCACACCGCACCAATGCAAAAATGATTTATGGGCTCCATTCAAATTATTTCTCTCTCTCTCTCTCTCTCTCTCTCTCTCTCTCTATATATATATATATATATATATATATATATATATATATATATATATATATATATATATATATATATATATATATATATATATATATATATATATATATATATATATATATATATATATATATATAGAGAGAGAGAGAGAGAGAGAGAGAGAGAGAGAGAGAGAGACATACATATATATTGTGGTTATATACAAATTACAATGTTACACAACTTAGCAACCAGCGACACGTAGATTGTTGAATGAGCACTTCTTGTGGTATTACTTGTCGTAGTGACACTCAGGTTCATGGATGTTTCATATGTTATTATCCAAAAGAAGTTTTACAAGTGGAAACTAAGTGCTACTACTATAATTTAAGCATGTGGGTTCCTCAGACATCAATACTTCCTCATTCCCCAAATAAATCAATTCCTAGAATCCATGTCAGTCAAACTTTTTTAAGTTTGACTAATTTTATAGAAAATAATAATAACATCTATGACATGAAATGAGCATATTATGAAAATATATTCTATGATACATCTAATGATACTAGTTTGATATCATAAATCTTGATGTTTTTCTCTATAAATTCGGTCAAAGTTTAAAAAGTTTGACTTATGACAACTCCAGAAATTGATTCTTTCAGGGACGAATTGAGTAGTAAATTTCTGAAGATAGTCGACAGAAGGTTCACGTTTGGAAAAAGGAGACAAAGAAGTTCTAGACAAAAGCGCTGGCAGGCAGCCTTCAATCAAGAGAGCAACAACATTAACACAAGGTATAACACAGTGCTAATGTTAGGAAGTGCAGACCAAACGGGAGACAATAGATGACACGATGATTTTTCCCCTAAGGTTTGGTGGCTTGCCAACCATCTACTCCCCAATGAGGCAAGTCCAAGGATGTTACTCCTCCGGATAGACACCGGGCCCGCAAGTTTGAATCACCTCTCAAGGTGAGCTCTGACGTGAGCACTAGCCTCTTGAGCTAGACGATCATCTTGGTACTCTTCATACCTCTTTTTTTTACTAGAGCTGATCTTCGTCTTCCTCCAGTGGGGACAAGCACAAGAGCACCGAACAAATGCTCTCTCCAGAGCTACCTCACAAGCTTCTTCGATGCTTCAACGGAGCCATTTGCCACCAAGTCGTCTATGAGGTGGCAATCTCCAAGAGTAACAAGCACTCAAGCTTGCTCACAGCCCCTAGTGCCAAGATGCTATCCCTCTCAAGCAAATACACTAGATCACTCCAATCTCACCATGAATTACAACCTCAACTATGCGTATGTGAGTGGAGGGCTAACTTTGGCTCTTATACATGTGGGTGGATTCACAAAGATCTCAACCCTCTCAAATGGCGGGCCAACCCACGTGTATATATATAGCCTCAAGCCTCAAAATAGATCCTGCGGGACTATCGGAAATATCCAGTAGTCATCGAAGAAGTATCACACAAGAAAGATTGCTGACATCCATCTGACATCCAATGGTTATATTCAAATGGTATAGCCGTTGGATTGCCCAATGCTCCGATGTCTCCTCTCTCCTCTGGATCACCACCGGATAAATCCAGTTGCCCCAAAAGGCTAAAACCATACTGTTTGGGTAACCCGAGAGTTTCTCTGGGTCTCCTCTGATTTTTGTTGTACTATTGTTTGTGTATAGCCAGCATTGTGACTTAAAAAAATGAGAGACAGTGGCATAGGAAAATAATCGAGTGATGAGGCGAGGGGTCAAGAATCAGCCGGAGACGAGGAGTCCCTCCCAAGAAGGCAAAATTGGCCAGGGGACATCGTTAGAATGTGGCCTGTGCCAAAAACCACTAAAAACATGTCTTAGCCAAAAGACATCAAAATTCATGGGAAATATGCTACCGAACACTCAACTCATTATTATATTAGGAAAATTGGTTGTGTATCATCCAAAGATCGCGATCTCCGTAAAATACCATCGAAAGTTTGGCGCTCCGTAAAATACCACTGAAAGATTGAACCGTGAACTGAGAGTAGCATTCTGTTAAAATAAAGTCACGGGAGTGACGGAAGCCTCCGTCGCGCCCGTACGCGATGTTGTCGCGGATGCTCGCCGCGAACAGGAACGGCTCCTGTGGCACCCCGCCACCACGTGCAGCGCCCGCAGGTTGTGCTTGCGCACATCCTTGCCAGATAGGACTATAGGAGTACGCGCTAGGATGTGGGCTCGTAGAACCGCTGCACCAGCGCTAGCAGGTTCCAGCGGCCAGAAGCACGCGTCCTTGTCGAGTTGAAGAAGCACACGTCTAGCAGCAGGTTCTGGTGGCCAGAAGCAGCGCATCGCCTTCGCCACCGTCGGACCATGGCCCTGTCGGCGGCTTGGACGAGACCGACGAGGCACCGAGGATGACGCAGCTGCCGAGGGTGGAGCCAAAGTCGGCCTTCCACTTTAGGAGCACGCCATCGTCAGTGCCAGCTCGATGTGTAGGCGCCGCAGCTGAGCGGAGCACCTCGGAGCGCGAGTGGTGGACTGGTGGAAGACGTCTGCGACGGGCGCGGGCAGTGTCTCGGAGCGCCAGGAGACGCCTACCGCGGCGGGGGACAGGATCTGGCCGAGCGCGTGGGGATGCCATCGACCAGGACGCGTGCGATGTGCATGAACGCGCCGCTCCCGCAGCTAGCGCCTGGTGCGGTGGGGAGCCCGGTACAACGAAGGAGGAGGACGGCGGGTCGTCGAGATGACGCAGTCGACGCGGACGAAGACGGAGTCGATGAGTAGCACGAGCGCGTGGAAGCAGCGTGAGACGAGGGCTCAGCTACCGAGCGCCTTGGTGTCGCCGATGCGGTTGAGGACGTCCCGCTGCAGGGGCCCTCCTCCTCCTCCATCCCATGCAGGTTACAGGCACACAGATAGGGATCGGGGAGAGGCGTTGGCACGGGGCAGGACCGGGCGGGGCGAGAGCCAGGACGGCAAGGACATGCGCAAGTACGGGCGCTGCGGCATGTGGTGCCGGTGGTGCCGCAGGAGCCATTCCTATTCGCGGCGAGCGTCCACGAGAACAACTCGTAAGGGCATGGCGACGTGACGGAGGCTACTTTCAGTTTCGTCACTTCTATCGTTTTATTTTAGCAGAATGTTATTTTTAGTTCACGGTTTAATCTTTTGGTGGTATTTTATAAGGACGCAAACTTTCGATGGTATTTTATGGAGATTATGATCTTTTCATGCTACACAACCAATTTTTCATATTATATTTGGTTTTAGTGGACAACCACGCGAAATGATGGATATGCCCTTGCCTCTTTATTATATCCCTTAATTCAGAACGGATCGGGACTTCGGGAGCCCGTGCATCGGTGCGTGCGGCCGCCCTCAACTCGCTCGCATGAAAAAGCAGCATGAACGGTTGTGCCATCTCCCCCACCGCCGGCGGCGCCCTGCAACGGCCGTGGTGGCGGCGCCCGTAAATGGCTACGCGACAACGGCGGGACTCGCTTCCCATGATGGCAACAGCGCCCGTTTTCTATTGCAGCGAACAGAGTGGCGGCGGCGCCCAATGTCGAAGGTAGCGACAGTGATGGAGTCTCCACGATTCTTGAGCGACATTTTCCCCGAGGAGCATGCTGCCGACGGGTAACTAATTTCTACCATTATCCGTACCCTAGGGTTCATTCAGATTATCTCCTACCCTAGCCTTAATTGAAATCATATGGCGTGTTCATTCAAATTATATTTCTGCTCATATTTATATATGTAGGATGGATCCCAATTTGTCCTACTAGTTTGCTGCACGTGTAGGTGCTTTTGTTAAATTGACTAAAGATGACAAGCACGAGTATTGTGATGCTTGTAACATTGCTAAGATTTTAGACAGGGGTACCACAAATTGGAATGAGTTGCTACTTGACATTGGCACAGAAATTAAGCTAGACTCTAAACATTAGTTATGTGTCACCTATTGGGATAATATGAGTCGTAGCTATGAAGAAATTGATTCTGATAACAACTGTTGCATGCAATTGACATGTATTGGGATATAAGAAGGCTCTCAGTGCAAGTGCGGGTTATGATAAAGTGAAAGGACCTAGGATGCCGCCTAGAGAGGGGTGAATAGGCGTTTCTAAAAATTAACACCTTTAAATGCGGAAACGATT